ATCACTTTGCAAAGAAATAGGATTGAGTGGTAGGTATTTAGGTTATCAAACTGGAAAAGTGAGTCTACAAATGTTTTTTGCCTTTCATTTAATTTGTTAACTAGGGCTTTTTCTGGCTTTCTGACTTCTGTTTCTGAGTTTACATTTTATTAATTAACTGAATTTTGATAAGTGGCACACATATATGTCCCTAAAAATAACATTATAGTGAGAATAATTGGATGGGCCTATACTTTCCTGACTTATCCTTAATTCAAGATCCTATAAAATTATTTGAAATATGAAAACAAATAAAGCAATTTGAATGTATAATTGGGATTTTATAATAGGTTTGCTTCTAGAATAATGAATGTAACTCATTAATTGGAAGTTAATTGGTAACATCGGCAAAGTTTATCTTGTATTTTGTGGATTGCATGCTTCAGTTGATACCTTGTGTACTATTGGGATTTATTCGTACCACACCTCTGGGTCTGATAGTGTATTAAGTTATGAGGAATATTAATATTGCTGCAGAACAATTACTTGTTCATTTGCTAACTGATTAAAATTCATGCATAATTTATTGAAATGAATAGAGATTTTATAAATAAGCCTTCTTGTTCTCAAGGGCCTCCAAACAAAATACATATGCTAATGTAAGACTGCTTTTTACTTGCAACATAAAAAATTTAATATGTAGTGGAGTATTAGTCTCATTAATGTTAGGTTTCACTTAGTACAATCATGCCATTAATCAATGTATAAGCTTCTAAGCTGTTTTTAGAAGTGCCACAGTTCCAAATTTGAACTACACCTTTGATTATTACACTGGTCCTTTTGTTTGCCTGAGCAGAGCATGTAAGTTGCAAAAATGACCAGAGTGAGTTGCTTACCCTTTTTCATCCCAGGTTATAGCTGACTTAGTTCTTTATGTGTGTAAAACCCTAGTGTCTAATGATAAATTCCAGCTTTGAGATGTGTGTACTTTCTGGCAAAACCAAGAGAAAGCAAAATAATGTCACATATAAGGCTTGCTGATTTATTAATTTTTTTTAAATTAAGAGTTTAATGAAAGGTTATAGAGACTTTGGATTTCCACTCATTCATTGTTGCACATTTTCCTCCCTGCTCACCCCTCCCCCCAGATCACTTTTCATTTTGAAAAGAAAAATTTTTTCATTGTTATACAATCTCCCCCTCACCCCAGAAATGATGATAATTCTTAATATTTAGCTTACCTATGATGAAATTGTGACGCTAACATTGTAAATAGCTTATTAACATTTACCAAGCTATAGTGATGTATACATTTTTAAAACGAGGGCTCTTGAACTCTTGACTCCGAGTTTTTTGTTTTGCACATCAGATCATTGAAGATGAGAAAGGTAGAACAACCTTGTGCTTTGCTTTACTCTTTCATTTATCTATAATATTGTATTTTGTTAGTAATGTATTGCCAATTTTCTTTTTCCTCTTAGAGCTTCCTCTTATGTTTTCTTAGTTTTCACAGAAGTGATATATAAGGTTTAGAGATTTCTCTTTTTCTGAATAATGATGGTATCTTCGAGTTGTGATGCTGGATAAGAGTCTTGAACATATCTGAACATTCATAGACTGCCACAACAACAATGGTGGTGCAGTGATAAAATGCTTTGCTGCCAAATCTGAAACCTACCAATGGTGTCATGGAGAAAGATGTGGTACTCTGCTTCGTAAAATTTAACTCTGTCCTGCGTATTTGTTATTAGTTGAAATCAACTGTATGTCAATGGAGCTGGTCTTTTTTTCATTTGAATTATGCTCTGGTACTAACTAGATAGTTCAAACATACACAGAACCTCAAAACAAAGGTCTTAGAACCTACTTTGCAAATGTTATAACCACTGAAAACTACATGGAATAAAATGCTACTCTGAAACATGGAATAAAATTCTTCTCTGAAACACATGGACAAGAAATGAGTTGAAAATGCTCAATGGCATTTTGTTTGCATTAATATGTAGTGGATTAAGTTTCAAAATTGCTATATATTTGTAAATGAACTAACTTTTATTACTTCTAATTTGTTTGGAAAATGTAGGAGGTTTGTTCATCACATTGAGTGTCATACATCTTTAAAGGCTGTTGGTAAGCTCTGAAGTGGGTGAGGTGTTGGTGCTCCAGGGTAGAACCCCTGTAAACTGCACATTCAGCATTGTTTTCTACTTCAATTAGTCAGTATATGAGCCATCTGGAATGAAAACAAACACTATACATATGAATCAGCTTGGTTTATTCACAAAATACAGAGTGCTCTGTAAAATATATGCAACATTCTGATAGACATTTGCATTTCTCGCCATTATGTTCTTTTCTCTATTTCTTTTTTGTGAAATTTTAGAACTTGGAAAATAGATCAACTTTCTCTCACTATACTTCAATTTATTAAAAATCTAAATATAAAATATATTTGAAGAGTTGGTAAATTTTTTAATGTGCAAGATTTATCTTCCTTTTTTCTATTAACATTTTATAGTATTTTTAGTGAAAGAATACATAGCAAATCCCCAGTTCAACCATGTCTACATGGTGACATTAGATAAACCTTCAGCTTGTGCCAATATTATCTTTATTTTCATTATATTTGTCTCATCTTCATTAACTTATTTTTTTGCACCCTTACTGTGACCTTTACAGTTTAGAGTAACTTAACCCATTTATTCTAAACGGATAATTTTTCAAATAAACACATTTCTCAACAGTGAAAAATGCTTAGCATTATCTTCATCTAGAAGAGTCCAGTTAGTCCTATTTCCCAAAACCTTCTCTGATTCTTAATTTCTTCACATAATTTATATCCCAGATAGAGACAAGTATTTCTATCTTGGTTGATGCCAGGCTACTTATGATTTACTTTATTTCTTAAATTACTATTCTGAACTGTTTCAACTTACACTCCTAATTCTGTGAATAAATTCTCCATTGCATACATACAAAATAGAAAATTGTTCATTAGATAAAAACAGTTAACTATTTTTCACTGAATAAAAATATTGCACAACATTTGGAATAGGTTTTTTGCTTAAAGTATATCAATTAAGTTTAAGATACCACTTAATTCTGTTAGAAATAAAATTATAAATTAATACAGTTTATAAAGCACATGTATTATCTTCTCTTATTATTGAATTTATTCCCATTTTAAACATGAATTAAGTGAAGTTGGGTTTTTTAAATTTTTTATTTTTTTACAGAGGTTTTGGATTTCCATTCATTCATTGCCGCAATTTTCTCCCAATTAAGTGAAGTTTTTGTTTCTGTTACCAACTAATTTGAAAACAATTGCAATAATCAGTTATATTATTAATGAGTAACATTTTTTTATATGTATTTGGATACCAAATCCAAACACCAAACCTACTCTTGTAAAATCAGTTATAAGTGACTGAGCCCTTCACTGGGTTTCTGAGACTGTAAATCTTTATAATCTTTATAAGAGAACACTGTCGTTTTCTCACAGAATCATGATGGAATCAAACTTCTGGCCTTTTGGTTCCCAGCACAGTTTGTAACACACTACATCACCAGAGCTCCTGGTATTTGGATGGGAGAACAACAAAGCTTTTCTCATTAGATAATCACTTTCCACTCATGTTTTACCCTTAAAATATCCTTCTACAAACTCTCAGTTTAAAATAATATTTTTTTAGTATACATTACTGTCTATAACTTTCTTTCATGTTATATTGAGATACAGTGCCTAGAAAAACATAGTGATTACATATGTATCATAGAATTTCACAACATGATATGATAATGTACTGGAAAGATTTTTTGCCTCTGTATGGATACTGGCCAGGTTGTCTTTGTGTGTGTGTGTGTGTGTGTGTGAGAGAGAGAGAGAGAGAGAGATGTTTTAACTTGGGATTTATTAGCTAGAGTGATACTTTTCATAAAATACAACTTAAAATCCTTACTTCTCTATATAGACTGTTTTAGTTTTGGTTTCTGCCTATCCCTAACATCACCTACTCATTCACTCACTCATTGCTGTTGAGTTGTAACTGACTTATATTTGTCTCTCCTCCTCCCCCACCCCCAGTGCATTCCTGAAGCTGTATATCACATGGGAGGAGGTTGTCATGTTTCTATCTTGGAACCACTGTTGGATATGAACCGAGAGAGAGCTTGGACCTATAGATTAGCACCCCTACTCTCTACCAAGTTCACCACCAGAATTCCCTGTCCTGAGCAAACATGGTCCATTTTAAAATAATCATTTAGTAGATTTTGACTATTTTTCATTCCCCTTCTCCAATCTACCTGCTTTCACTTAATGTTGTTGTTGTTATATGCCATCAAGCTGTGTGCGGCTCATAATGACCTGAAGTACAGCAGCCCTAAACCCTGCTCTATCCTTTGCCAATCTGCTGTCTCAGACACACCTATCCTCATTACCTCAGTCATGGAATCAATCCATCTCATCAAGGGTCTTCCTCTCCTGTGCTGTCCCTCCACCCTCCCAAGCATGACGTCCCTCTCCGAGGACTGGTCCCACCTTGAAACATGTTCAAAGTATGTCAGACGAAGCTTCACAATCCTTGCCTCCAAGGAGCAGCCTGGCTTCATCCACTCCAGGATGAAATTGTTCTCCTAGCAGTCCATGGTATTTTCAATACTCTTCTCCAGCACCACAGCTCTGTTAATAGCTAACTAGAATGAGTCATGTTTAAATATATTTCTTTGTTTCTTTTGTATTCTGTTAATTTGTAAGTTTATCTCATAGAAAGCCATATTGTGAATAAAGAGAAGAAAGCTCTACTGTAAAGGGTTGTAGACCATTAGCAGAAACAATGCTGTATTTACCTTTAAAAGTATGGTTACCAGATAGCTCATGTCCATGTTTTCTTTTAAATATTTATCACGTACTACTAAATAAATCATCCATTAGACCTTAAGGCTTTTAAAGGCATTACAATAGCTTCATATTTTAATGTTTTCTTACTTAACTGATGAGATTGCACATTTATCTTTTCTAGAACCACCACGACCCATTGCCCCTCCCCAGCTGCTTGGTGTTGGGCCTACATATTTGCTGATTCAACTCAATGCTAACTCCATTATTGGCGATGGTCCCATTATCTTGAAAGAAGTGGAGTATCGGATGACATCAGGATCCTGGACAGAAACTCATGCAGTCAATGCTCCAACTTATAAATTATGGCATTTGGACCCAGATACTGAATATGAGATCCGTGTTCTCCTTACAAGACCTGGGGAAGGTGGGACCGGGCTTCCAGGACCTCCACTGATTACCAGAACAAAATGTGCAGGTAAGACGAATAGCAAGCATTCTGCAATATGAAGAAATCTAGCAAAAGACATTAAAGAGTAGCATTTTTATTGTTTAGAATATAATGCGGTATATAAAAAATTCCAGTGAACTAGGTATATCACCACCTTAACTATATCATAATGTCCATGATTTCAGAGCAAATGAATACTTCTTTATTATAAGTTCAGTGTTATTAACTATACAAAGAGCAAGAACCCTGTGGGGGCGGTCATGTCTGACCTTGACCAACTTCAAGGAGGGGAACTGTCCCCATCAATAGCATCACAAAATAGTAACACAAAACTAATTCCCATGAGGCTCCCATACTTCTTTCTACTCATCTCAATATCAATCTTATTTCTGCTTTGCTGGGTCCAAAATCCAATTAAATAGCTCACAGACTAAATAGAACCACACTGGGGAAATCAAAAGGTTATAATCTAGATTGTTGTTGTGGATTGCCTTTGAGTAGAAAACGATACATACATACTAACCCTGTGAACAAAAGGTCTGAAGCCCTCTCCAACTATTGACATTATCAAAGTTCATAGTATTTCTGCATGCATGTTGTTTAGGAATTGGCTGCCACTCCTGCTTCCAATCTAGATTAATCTAGATTAGTAACAGAAAACAGAATTACACTGAAATAGTGCCTTGTTGGGATATTTCATTTAAACCATAGACAATCGTATGGTTGAGGTTCCTTATTGGCTTAGGAGCTTGATCCCCGCCACTATAATATAGAAATTGCTTCCTTGGATATCTGAGCCCTATTATTATTGATAAGGGTGCTCTTGTGGTCTTATACATAAGATATTGTGCTGATAACTTGATGAGCATCTTTGGTATTTCAAATCCACCAGAGAAAATGGGGCAATCTTCACCCACATAAGGTACAGGCCCTGGAAAACCTGCTGGAGTGTCAACTATGAAACATGTCCATATATAAGGCAATGAGTTTTGGGAATTATTATTCTATGAGCCCTATTATTTCAGTAGTTAAAGAGCTCAGCTGGTCACAAGAGGGTTAAGGGCTTTTCTCTACCAGCTATATTCTAGAGGATAGATGTAGCCACCTGCTACATCATAAACATTTAGAAACTTAAAAACCTTATAGACAGACAGACAGTTCTGCTGTGTCCTGTAGGGTCTCAATGAGTCAGAATTTACTCGATGACAGAGGATTTAGGTTTTTAATAGGGTGGTGTTCACCATCCTCATATCTGAGTTATGATAATGAACTAAGAACAACTGGAGAAAACACAAAGATTAAAAAAAGAATGACAAAATTCTATTGTATTATATTGTTCTGTGTAGGCATAACAGGAAATAATATGAACCATTTATTGAAACCAGTAGAAAGTTTAATATTCTAAATTATTTAGGTGCATGTTTTATTGCAGTGATTATTTCATTAATAAAAGCTGTTAGATTAATTTCTAGTTTAAAGAAGCATTTTGTTGAAACATAAAGCATCATCTACTACATTGAAACACCTGCACAGTTAATAAATGAATTTATATGGCCTGAACATCTAATGATTTAAGGTGTGAAAATTTAATATTGAGACTGTGGGAATCTTCTTGGTGTTATATACCATCGAGTTGGAACCAACCTATTCGTTGACCCTCTAATGAGTTTTCAGAAGCAATAAATGATACAGGAGGATATTGCCCATCCTTCTCCCATAGAGCAGCTGGTGGATTTGAATCATGTGCCTTAGGGATTGCAGTTCAGCTTCTTCCTATTACTAGACCTAGACTAGAGCTCTTAGAATATGTAAATGCCTAAACAATATCTTGATTCTTACACATCTGTTTATTCCCTCCCATTACATTTATTGTATTCTAGAGCAATTCATATATACTCCATTCTAAGGTCAAACTCAAATTCAACTGATAACACTATAGTCTGCAAAGTGTGTGTCTGTTGATTTTTTCTTTTATCCAGTTCAATTTTTAAAGAAGTGTTGTATGTTAAGTTCTAGTAGTTGAGTGCTCACAAGTTTATTGATAGTTATCATAAATTTGAGTGTCTGAAAACCTGCTAAAAGACTTTGAGTAGTTCTCTATGACTAAGTCTATTGCTTGATCTGCTTTTTTAACCTCTTCTAAAGTTAAATCCACTCTTCTCAGAGAATATATTGCTCTAATGGTAATAAGAAAACAGTTTGAGGGAAAGACAAATAGACCCTCATCTTATCTAGTTAGAGAAATATTTTTAATAATAAATAATGTGAAAACAGAAAATTAGTTTATTCCGGTGATTTAATGGGTAAGCTGCATGCATTGCCAACTCACAGGCAGGAAGTTGGAATCTACCAGTTCCACAGATGGAGAAAAATGGGCATTCTCCTCTCATGCAATTTATAGTCTCTGAAAACTCACTGGAATGTCACCTGAGTTGATTCTGTCTTGACAGCACATAATAACAGCACATACTAAAATAAAATAAAGATATATTAGCAACAAAGTCTTTTTGTTTTACTGAGGTATTATCTACATATGCTTTTTACTAAAATTATGACATTTCCTCTTCATTTAATCATTACAAGGAATAAGAATTCTGCCATGTATATCCTCAGTGTTAGTTTATTTTATAGTATATCCTCAGTGTTAGTTTATTTTATAGTAGTTTTCATTTAGCTTTCTAAGCCTAAATTTGTTTCTTTTAAATATCTCATACTTTAATTTTTTTATTACCAACAAAATAAACATTTTAAAAATTATCAGTGTTATATAGCACATGGTCAACATAATGATGTAACTTTGGATAATTATGAAATTATTGGATATTGGTCATTGATCTGAAAGCCAATAGAGACTGCAAGTAAGTTACATTGTGTTTTAAAGCTAGTTATATTTTATTAAGTGAATGAAAACAACACACTAATGAACATTGATTTATCCCTCTTGAATGTTCTGAGTACATATTGAACTCTGTGGAAAAAGTGAAAATGTGACCATACAATGCTTTTGGGGTATTTCGTTTTCCAAATAATCTTTTCTACACAGAAGAAGATTGAGTAAAAAAGAAAAAAAGAAAGTAACTTATATGTCCTTATCACTGCTTTCAAATTTATAAATCCCTTGACATTTTAGAATTATATGATGAGTCTCTTTTTTTCTGATTCTTTATGTGAAAAACATGAATTTGTGGATTCATTATCGGGCCTACTCGCATTATGTTTACTTGCTAATTAAAAAATTTATTTTAAAAGCTGTATTTCATATCATGTATGCCTCCATCACACAAGTGTTTTATAGTTAATTTGTAATTGGGATCATACAGAGAAGATAACTGTGGCGCCTGTACGAGCATGACACGGAAGTTTGTGAATGAGTTCATATTTTTAAAGGTGGAAATGCAGCCAGAGAGAGCAAGACCCTTAGTGAGATGGATTGATGACACTGTAACTGCAGCAATAGGCTCAAGTGTGCCAGGCTGTTGAGGATCGACGGGAGAGGACAGGGCACAGACTTATTGTTCATAGGGCTGCTGTGAGTTGTACTCAATTTGAGGATACCTAACAACAGCAACAAAGTGAATTAACTTTTCACTATTTAAACCAAGGGCATTTTATCTCACATTGTAGTTAACATTGTTCACTTTGCAGAAATTGATAACTAGAGGGTTTTTCCTCCTATAAATCACATAAGTAATTTTAATTACGTATGTTAGTGAAAATATTTCAGATTTGCAAATCCAAATAGAAATCCATTCCCAATTTTAATTATTGCTTAATACTATTTCAAAATCACGACAAAAGGTATTAATTTTCCAGTTTTAGAACTGGTAAATTTAAGCTTCGGGAGGTTAAACTCCATTTTTTTTTTTTACTTTAAATTCTGTGGTTTTTTTAAAATATTTTAAAAATCTGAAATTTCCATTTGTACATCTACCTTATTTTCTACTTTTCCTTTCCAATATGAGTATTAATAAGAGTATAAATGAAAGAAAGCACTTCAGTTAAAAAGTGGCATGCAGGTGCAGTTTTAAAATAGTATCCCATAAGTAATATATTTCTTGAGATATGTAGATCAGTTGTTTACAAATTAACTTTCATTGAAAGGAAAAATGAATAATGTACTTCAAAGTCAAATACTTGTTGTGATTTAACTATTTTAAACAGATAAGAAAGTGGGCTGGGGGAGGAAACAGAAACAGAACCACCTTTTCTTAGATTTTACCCTCTTTACAAAATATCCTGCCTGGTTGCCAAAGCTCTTGGTGTGTGTGGGTTCTTTAAGTACATCAGAGTCTTTTGGTAAGTGAAATTACTCATTTTAGGGTCTTCTAAGTTAGAAAAGGTGGTAATTAAAACCTCTGGTGGCTAAAGCTGACCTATGTCTGCCAATAGCTTCTCCAGGCACTCACACGGTATGATTATTTCATTGCAAGCTTTACAGTCTGACCTAGGTTATTGTTCAAATAATGATTCTTCCAGCATTTTAGAAATTTTTAAACAAGTATAAATATGGCATTGTCTTAAATGGATAATTACTCAAAAATTCCCCTGACCAATTATTGTTATGTGCTGTCTGGTCACCTGCGACTCATAGTGAACTTATGTACAACAGCCCCAAACCCTATTCTATTCTGTGTCAATCTCACTGTCTCTGACATACCTACCTGCATTACCCCAGTCACTGAATCAATCCACCTCATAGAGGGTCTTCTTCTCCTGTGCTGTCCCTCTACCCTCCCAATGATGACATCCTTCTCCAAGGACTTGTCATTCCTTGCAACATGTCCAAAGTATGTCAGACGAAGCTTCAGAATCTTTACCTCCAAGAAGCAGCCTGCTTTAACCCTCTTCAGGATGATTCCGTTTGTTTCCTTAGCAGTCCATGGTATATTCAATAATCTTCTCCAACAACACAGCTCAAAGGCATCAATTTTCCTTCTTTCCTCCCTAATCATTGTCCAACTTTCTGACACATTGCAAGTGATTGTAAAGACCATGGCCTGTATTGGGAGCACCTTAGTGTTCAGAGT